TTGGACGGTTTCATTTAGTATGACAATTGGGTCATATGATCTTTTGTCAGTGGATCATCATTCGTCTAACTATTTTTTTATGGACCATCAGATCGCCTTAGAATCATTGGTGACATATTTTTCATGTACATGCACGGATCTCAAGATGTGACTCTAATCTCGGGATAATTTTTTGTGCAAGAAATGCTCAAAGTCACATTAAAAATCATCGAGAGCTATGATTTCATCAAACTTACCAGCTTGGCGAGATAAATGCAACAATACAAACATTGACCCAATCTGAGTCAAACCAAACATAGTTCGAGCTATTAAACTATTTTTTTGAGCTTTTTGGTATCAGTCTAACAGATTCAAAATCTGATATGCTAGTAAACTTGAGGATCTCAATAAGATGAATCCAATGAACCCCTCGTCAATAAATTTTGACTCATTTAAGACACTCAATTGACAATAGAATGATATTCAATCAATAGAATCTCTCTCGGTTGTCCGATGGAGTGGTATGCATCTTTTTTTTTTTTTTTTGCAGCAAGAGTTTTATTAACATATATAAATAGAGTCCTATCACATTCATAAAAGAAGACCACGACCTGATCTTGGAGAAGAATCAAGATAAGGAGCTGGAGACTAGTGTTCTAAGTTGAAAATTTGATGAACACTTTTTGCTTATGCAGCCGCCGCACACTATCCGTCAAGTATTATCGGCCGCCCCCTGCTCATTGATGACTAGTGTTGCAGAGTCCACTGCAACGGCCAACAAAACACATCAGCGAAGCATTCTATGATGCAACACATTATATTGAACAAGGCTTTGTGACACATTCTAAGGATAGTGTACCAAAGTTTTGGCAATTGCAGCCACTCACGTTCTTTTTGCAACTAGTCTTTGTTAACATGAACATTATAATCGAATGACCCTTTTTACCGCCTATGAGACAGAGGATTGTACCTATAATTATTAAGTCGTAGTAGATTTTTTTTTATTAGGCTTAATCCTATGATTACTTCACCGCCACCATGAGTTCTCCGCACACTTCAATATTTTGTAATTTTAAATCCCAGTGCTCATTATTCCTATCATGCTATTATGCTACACAAAATAAATAATAAAGATATATTTTAATATATTCAAAATATATCTAGTAACATATATTTTCCAAAAGTCCAAATTTTTAAGAATTTTTATTCAATAATTTGAATGCTTATTTATTTATTTATTTATTATATAAACTCGGCTTCAAAAATTAAGAAAAAATTACTCACATCACACCATTTTTATGGATTTATATATTTAACAATTAAAGTGATATTTATATTTATAACATTTTAATCCGATAAATTTATGCATAAAAAATATATTTTGTTTTTAAAAAGTAAATAATATGATATTTTTGTGTGATAGTAAGATTGAGCTGTTATGCATATAAATGTGTAGCCTAAGTGTTGGCCATATAAAAATCCATTTTTTTTTTTTTTAAGTGCATGTAGATGACACAAAAAATAAATATTTATATTCTTGAATATCGATCGGGACCCTGAAAAACATTTCCAATATTAATACGCACTAGATAAACTTGTGAGTGCGTGTGAAAATGGGGCTCTTAATGATCTAATTTTGAGCCGGCTCGAATAAATGCAGTGCTGCTCAAATCGGTTCATAACTAGTTATATTTGATTTTGAGTCGAGCCAGCTCGAAATCGACCATGATCCGGCTCAAAATAGAAACGAGTTGACTCAAATTGAATTATTTGGATACATTCCAAAGTAAAATCAACTCTAAATTGGCTCGTGATTTGTTGTATTCGATTGTACTTAACAAAACATTTATAATTATTATAAATTTAAAATACAATGAACTGATGTCGGGTCAATCAGACCCAATGTATGTATTACGTGAAACCAGCTCAAAAAGATATTAGATCCAATGTTTCGGCTCACAATTCAGTTCATTTATTTAGTCCGAACCCGATCTAAAGCAAAAGTTGAATTGATTTTAGAGCCATTATTCATCATTAATCATCTTTGAGCTAAATTCATAGACCAACATGTAAACATGCAATTATTTATTTTATTGAAAATTTGAGAATTATTTTCAAATTTCTCAAAAGAATTTAATCACATTTTGGGTGCTGAGCAGATCGACCAGACTATGACCTCATCATATTCTTGTAACCCCCGCACGTGCCTACCACACTAACACACGCCAACCTACACGTGTGTTCATAATTTTAGTCTGCACGAATCTCAACGAGAAATACTGATTCTTTCAGATTCGCGACCAGACTGACTCACAATTCTTGTACCCTCCGCACGTGCCTACCAGCCAACCTACACGTGCGTTTATCATTTAACTCTGCACGAATCTCAAGTAAAAATACTGATACTCCACCCATTTTAAGTCACTGTTGCATATGATTTATATTATTCCTATGTTCAAAACCGCGGCTCTTTTCTTCCCATCTCTCCACGGCCCACAATATTGGCTCGAAAACCACTATATAAATAAATAAATAAAAAAAGGAAAATTGGGTCGATAGCGGGCCCACATGGGCCTTGTACTATTCTAGGGCCTCAAAGGGCTTGGTAGAGGACAAAATTGGAGATGCTCAGAGGCTTTTTCGGCTTTTAGTTTCCTGTTTCATCTGTCTACGCGTCTATCTATAGAGAGATAGAAAACATGTTGTTTCTCTCTCGAAAAGGATTGTCTCGGCCGTCGGATAAAAATGAGGATGAGAGGGCCGGCCCAAGTCCTCAAAGGACGGTGTTGTTAAGAGAGAACCATTATTATTGCTTCTTTTAAATTATTCTTATTCAACTTAATTTGACTAATTTCATTTTTAATATTTTTTTTATTGGTAATACCAAGTCATTGATATTATATATATATATATATTATGCATTTAGGCTTGTTTTTTATGGGGATGGGGTGGAAGGAAAGTATTAGTGTTCATTATATGAAAATGACAAAACACTTATAATAGAAACCCTAACATTAGAGTTTTCTTTATTGTGTTACAAGTGGCTACATGAAGGAAAAAAAAAGACTATAGTTAATTATTTTTGTGATAAAAGGATAAAATTATAAAGAGAAAATGAAATTACATAATCATAAGTAGGGGTTTTATAAGTTATACTTTTAGCTTTAGATGATGATTCCCATATTCTTTTAGCTTAGATGGCAATGTGCTTGATGATACAAATTAGTTTTTTTTTACCATTTTTGTATTTTGTTTTTCTTCTACCCAATAGCGAAAAAGAATGTTTTATGTAAATACCACTAAATTCTTAGATATTTACATATCTAACCCCCGAACTTCAATTTTTACATACATGCCACCGTACATGCTTGAAAATGTGTATTTCACTTTTCAAATCTTAAAATGGTGGTATTTTTTATGTGATATAAGAAGTTTGGGTGTTATAAGTGTAAAAGATCAAATTTAGGTGTTAGATATGTCAATACATAAGAATTAAAGTGGTATGCATGTAAATGCCCTAAGAAAAATTATTTTGAGATTTTAGCTTTGTATTTTTAAGGGAAAAAACCAAAAAATAACAAAATTAGGCTTATGACCAGCCCTTCCTAATTTGAAAATTACATATAGAAAGGCACAGATAAATTCTAGGAAAACATTTACTTTAGAACATTGCATTTTTCTATTGTTTTCTAAGGACCATAGATATATGCTCTATTACAATTGTATGGCTTTGCAAATAGATTTTAATTTGCCGCATAGATTCCTAACTACTTTTTTTTTTCCCTTCTAATTTTACTAATATTTAATTAATAATGTTCATAATTTTGTATTATCTTATTGGTTTTCATGGTTGATTGCAAATTGATTAAGTAAAATCCAATTTTATGTGTATTTAATTCATTATAGTTATATGTCATATGAATTATGCAGTTAGAGCTCAAAGAGGTGAGACTTATAGAAGTGTCTCAAGAAAGAAGAAACAGGAAAAAAGAAGAGGTTAACTACAAAGCTTAAGAACACTCTCCAAAAAAGACTTCGACCTCGTCCAGGTCGAGCAATTCTAAGTAGAAATCACACTAGATAACTATTTAAATAGAAATCTATGCTGAGCCATATAGGTTGGAGAAGCACAGAGACTTCTCATCGAGACATGTATTATGATACAACTATATAAAAAGATCATATGTGCGGAGGCCCTATTAAATGATTTGAGATATTTCCATGTTATGCAAATCATTTTAAAACCGATCAAAAAATCATGCATTAAAGTGAAGTTTTTCTATTGTCATATTTATCTCCTAAAATAGTAGTTGTTTTAATAGTTTCTAGCTATTATTTTCCATGTTGTGATATCCTATAATTAGTCATAATGTATTACAATATGTGAAAATTGTATATAGTTTCATGTTTAATGTTATTAAGTATTATTATAAATTGCATCATTGCAATTGAATGTGCTCTCTACTCAAATTGGTGAGTTTTGCTCTTGGATTATATATTATACTTCCATTCAATAGCTATAGTGGAGTATTTTTTTGTTTTCTCTTTAATTCTACTATCTTTGTTGGGATAAGAAAAATAGTAAATAAATTTTAATTGGGCCATTTATGTAATATCTCATCCAAAATATCAATGATGATTGGGAGCTATAGAAATTGCCATACAACTTGCTCACTATCCAACAGCATATATAGCAAAATATGCAGTAAAGAGACGAAATAAACCCAGATTTACAAATACAGCAACCAATTCTTATGTTAAAGAGACGAAATAAACCCAGATTTACAAATACAGTATGAACTTGCATATCTAAGCACCAAAACTTCAATTTTTTACATTTGCACCACCCAACTTATGCATAAAAACGTGTATTTCACCTCTTAAAAGTTAAAATAGTGGTATTTTTTTATGTGATGTGAATGATTTGGGTGGTATTAATGTAAAAAAGAAAAGTTTAGGCGTTGGATATGTATAACATAGACAATAGGTGGTACTTATGTAAATGCCCCAATAAAATAAAATAAAATAAAAAAAACAGAACAGAAAATCATCATTAAAACGGAACATTCATGTCACATATCCCACATCATAAACCTAAGAACATCCTGAAATCTATCCCAATGAGCAGAGAGAACAAGCAAAAACTGGTTTAAGGTTTTAAAAATCTCTACCAAACAAACATAAGCTTCAAGTTTAATGACAAATATACCCAAAAATAGTATCCAAACTTACCGAACATACATGTTTGAGCGCTTTCCATATCCGCCTCTGTCTGGACTACCATAAGGCGAATCCGGCAGGGACCTCGACCGCTCCCTTCTAGATCTGCCACCATAAGGTGAGTAGCGTGGAGGAGAATAATCGCGGCCGCCACGGTAAGGCGAGCGCCTCGGAGACCTTCGATAACCGCCATAATATTCATCCCTTCCATAGCCCCCACGAAACCTTCCACGATCACGGTCACGATCGTAGCGATAGCCTGCAACAAGGTGAACAAGTAAACTTAAAAAAGTGTTACACAATGAAATCAATAAAATGACTCGTTAACATCGGCAGAGAGAGATTCGACTCACCAGGCTCGCGGGAATTCTTCAGACCAAGATACTGTCCGGGTGTGGGCGTCCTCGGACGCTTTCTTCTGGACTGAAAAATGGGTAAAAGAAGCCTTGAAAACTAAAATGTTATTCAAAATAAATAAAAAACCACAGAGACAAGTTAGAGAAGAAAGTAATACAGAAGGCAATCAAGTTATTAGATCCTATGAGAATAATAATGAAGGAAGGATGGCCAAATATTTATAGAAAATAGAGAAAAGGACAGTTACATACATAACACAAAATTCTTATGTATTTACATATCTCACACCAAAACTTTCATATTTACAAACAGAGCACTCAATAAAAAATAGCACGTTTAGCAAATTTTAAAAATGAAATACATGTTTTCATGCATAGATTTAGAGCGGTGAAGCGCTGTGTACTTATGAAAGTTTAGGTGTTGGAAATGTAAATAAATAAGAATTGTGTGCTAGGTATGTAAATTTCCAAATAGAAAATTATTAGGATCACAGTGCGTGCCTATGAGCAATCACCTAATAGCAATCATTAAATGAATGCCAGATATATGATACCATAAAATGTCTGGTTACTGTAAGAATGCTGAAGTTGTTGGGGGGTGTGAAAGCTGAAGGTTAGTTGAGCAATTTTTGCTATTTGTTAAGTTGAAGTGTGAAGAATCAATCTCTAAGAATAAGTTGAAGTGATGAAGGACTGATCATCTTTGATTGCTGCCAACTTAGCTGACGCAATTTGACTTTCTGAATATAACCAAAAACCTTTAAGTCAAACAAGAGATGAACATAGGAAGCTTCGTTGTGTTATAATTCGACAACTGTGTAAAAAAAAGATTTACCTTCTCAACGGTTATGTAACGACCCTCCAAAACCGACTGATTAAGGTGTCTGACACAGCGTTCAGCAGCTTCAGTGGTTTCCATGGTGAGAAACGCAAAGCCACGGGAGATTCGGGTACGGGGTTCCACGATGAGGCGGCAGTCCGTGACCTGGAAATACAAGATAATATGATTTAAAAAACATGAAAATTCATGAAAAATATAGATATTACATAGTTACCTTTCCCTCTTTCGAAAAATGTTCTTCAAGGTCTCTTTCTGTAACCCGGGAGGAAAGGCCGGTTACGTAAAGAGTATTACCGGAATTCGCAACATCATTCCTACAATTTAGGATTTAGGGTTTAGGTCAATTGTTTCACTTGTTGCATCAACTTGTAAAAGAAAGCGAGAAAACGAATTTGGAGTAATTGGCTGCAGCTATAAACCTGTTGTGACTTGGAGATTGTGATCTTGACCGGCTCCTAGGTCGGGGAGACCGGGACCTGGACTGGGATTGTCCCTTTGATCGAGACGTTGACCTCCCCTTGTAAGGCAAAGGGGACCTTGAGTACCTTAAATGGCGGAAAATATAAATGTGAAGCTCAAACGGTTTGAGGGATTATGCCTAAAGCATTAGTTTATAGGATTGATGTGGTTATTTACATACATAGCAGACAAGTCTAATGTATTTACACATCTCATGCCTAAACTGTCATATTTACATACATATGCATGAAATAGGTTTAAAGCAACAAAATGATACGTAAATACATAAGAATTGTGTGCTAGGTCTGTGAATTTCCCTAACATTCAATTATTGAATTTAAATTTTAAAGTCATGCCGCTTCAAATAAAATTCTAGGTGGTAAACTCAATCATAATTTACAAAAGGAGAGCAATGGGTGAAGACATTGCATCAAACTTCAGCATGTTTTTTGAAGCAAACAATCATGTAAATTCAACTTTTATGTCAAATATACTGTGACAAGCAGAAGATAAATATTACTGAAGATTAACTGGCAAGAAAAATCAATTTGTATCAAGAACTTCTATGGCCTACCAACACCTATTAAAGAGATGTGGCTGTAATCAAAATATATTTAAAACAATCAAGTAAAAGACGACCAACATACACTCAACATACCTCAGCAATATGGATCAGGTGCGTAAATAATCATCTCCAAAAAACATATAAAATCATTTTGAACTTATATAAACTCTTTATATTATTAAAATTTCTAGTTAGAACACAGATTTTAACTTTTTGGATCAGTCTTGCACCGACAAGTTTCTCAGCCATCAATCATGCCATGCCTTGCAAATAATGCACCAGGGCCCTGCCAACCATATATATATATCGGCTACTAGGTTCCCGAGATGACTTTTGGCTTGGCAATCCTAATCTTATTGAAAGTAGATCCTCGAGAACCATATGCGTAAGCCTCAAGCCCCAATCAATCCTAGTTTTATATGAGCCATGGTAGAGAGAATATTTGATGAAATAATAGTCTAGAGGAAAATCTCATTGAATTCTGAATGAAAATTAACTGAGGTTTTGAAGCAGCCTTGCACAATTTTTCCAACGGCCACTTTTCACATAACAAGAGTAAATCAAATTTATATCAATAATTAATGCATATTTTTTTACCACACAATGATAAAACAAACAGGTAATATACTTGCATTGCCTAAAACAATAATACAAAATCAAAATAAGAACTAAGGACAAAGTGATATCTTTTAAATAAAACCAATCTATGATGAGCAAACAGTCGGACGCTATTAAAAAAAAAAACAAGTGCGAGTAATGTGGACAACGTCAATCGAGAAACTTCCAAAAGGGACCGATAATCAGAAAAGCTTTGAACAGCTTTCAATAATAGATTTCAAAGGTAAGATCAGTGTGAACCATGCAGGCAGCTTCTAGTTCTCAACATCTCTAGGCTTACGTGAGCCATGGTAAATTGTAGATTAAATAGCATACTCATCTAGAAGAAAATTGAGGCCCTCCATGGACTTCCTACTAAAATTTAACAGTTTTTCAACAGCAAATTAACCCAACAATTTTACACACACACTTTTTATTTTACCTTTCAAAACCAAAACCATACACCAATAGTCAAACACCCATTCAACTAAATTTTGACATGAAAATTGAGAGTGAGAAAACATTTATGTTAATAATTAACACATTATCTAATCATCCGATAAAATAAGAACACATCTATGAGAATTAACTTCTAAATGCAACAAATATATGAAGCAAAATAATAATAAATTCTATATGTTAATTTTGCTTACTATAGGAAGCACGAAGGATAATTGACTAGGACTACAAACTATTTAATCACAAGAAATATTTTCTAATCAATAATTATAGTAATTCTATCGGTCAATAAATTTGAACCTTATACAATGAAAATGAGTTCCATAGGTGGAAGTTTATTAATAGGGAAAATATACCAATCAAAAACATTTCACCATCATACAATGAAGGAGAGACTAGCCCAAATACAAACACATTCGCGCGCAAACTCTCAAATAACATAAAAATAGATAAATGAGAGAAAAAGTAGGTGAATCTAAAAGGTAAAATTGGCTGCTTAGGAAAATAGCTAGTGAATATTCTATTGAATAGTGACTATTGAGGCAACAATTATACGTTTTCATCAATCAATTTACAATATTAAAGTTTAACAATACTCACAAGACCAATCAACTTCCTTAACATCATAAAAACTATTAGAATATATTCAAGAATCACTATTCTTCAGCGATGTAACGTTTGAACTGCCACCTTTCTCCCTAATCAATAATTTATGTTATAACATTTTCAGTACTACATTGAAATCCTCCAACGAAATATATTTCCACCTACTCTTCAACAAATGTTACTCCCAGTGCTGCTCTAACATCAAAATCTTCATCTTAACAGTTCTTAACATTGATTTCATTGATTTCATTGATGTCCGACAATTCCATATATGATAGTTGCAAGCCAATTTCAACAAAAGTCGAACCAATTCAATTGAACTCTGATCGATTAGAACAATGGCAACTAATAGAATATACCGATATCAATGAATATTATTTATAAGAATTTTCATTGATAATAGAAATGATATTTATTTTATATGATAATCTGTTTTAAGATCCAACAATTCCATGTCCACTTGTAAAGCTACTGACACTACATCAAATATTCCTAGATAATTTCAAGATATCCTTGCCATACATTGTCCATTTCTTATTACTGCAAAGCCCTGTAGTTATTTATCATAAAGAATGGTGTGAAAATCCTTTCGTTCTTACTCTATATTTATTAGTAACTGCCTTAAAAAAAAAATCATATTGATAATGTATCTTCTAGCGTTAAATCAATTTAATTCTTTGATATTGACACACCTAAACTTAAATTCCACTAAATTCATTATAAGGCCATTTCTTAATTCCCAATAACTGTCAAATCGTAAACATCCTTGCATTCAAATAAATATCAAAATGTTACCTCTCCAAATAATTGGTTTCGTCTAGTTTTAAATATTCATTTTTTAAAAAAATTAGCTAATACAATCCAATATCCGGCGTCATTCCGATAGTTGGTAGGTAACAATTATCACATAACTTGGGGATAATTGGTTTCGTCTAGTTTTAAATATTCATTTTTTTAAAAAATTAGCTAATACAATCCAATATCCGACGTCATTCCGATAGTTGGTGGGTAACAATTATCACATAACTTGGGGAAATTTAGTCTTTATTAACATAAAGACAATTTAGTAATTTGTCATTTATTATTGTTTAGTATAAATAGAAATAATATGCTTAGTGTAAGGGTTATGCATCAAATTGGGTCTTGACTCTTGAGTCTTAGAGTTAGGGTTATGCATGAGATTGGGTCTTGACTTTTGAGTCATAGAGTTAGGGTTATGAATGAGATTGAGTGTTGAATCTTAGGGTTAGGGTTTGCGAGAAATTTCCTACCTCTCGAATTATAAGTGTTTATCTTTATGTATTTTGGTTGTATTGTTGGAGTTATTGAAGAAAAATAATTTGTTTTGCCCTAATTTCAACAAAATTTCTTATCAAATTGATAACAGAGCATTCGAACTTGAAACAAAAAAGGGGCTTATAGAAGGAACACAACTTACAAGAGAAAACCCGCAACGGGTTTGATTGTACGGTACAGGGATACAGTTGCATAAGCCTATGACGAGATAGGGCGCGATCGTGCAAAGAAAAAAAAAAGGGTTTGACATGCACGTACTGAAAGATCACAGTGTCGTATCGGACCCTCGTGATACAGTCACGATTAGCTCTAGCTTGGGACGACAACTACAAAATTGTTGTGTGAAGTAGGAAAAAAAAGGATCACAGCTTGTGTTGGAAAGCTAGCGCGGCGCGCCTAATCCGCAAAACCTCATGCCTCTGACATCCCTAAAGACCACACAAGACTTTCCTCTCCACTGCGCTCGACCGTTTCCCAGCACACGATGCAGCGACATGCCCTAATCACAAAAAGTTTGTGATTCGAGCTAGTTGGTAGAGACCAAGCAAGTAGAAATAATCCCGATTAAACAATGGGATAGAAGCACACATTAACTTAATATTGTGATACATCCACTCTTTCTGATTTGAGTCACACTTGTGATACTAATCATTAGGGGAATAATAAAAACACAATAATTAATGCTCTGAAGAAGAAATTAGAAAAAAGAAGCCAAATTAGATCTGAAATGGAATAAATTTTTCTCGTCCATGGAGGGGCGGTTCCAGAAAAGATTCACGGCCTTGGAAGAAATGATGAAGTTCCACACAAAACCACCTCTGATCATTGTGAGATCGAGCAACGACGTCAGGAACAAACGCTGGCAGCAACAACCAGTAAGATTCATGTGATAAAGGTAACATCACTGCTTTAGCAAATCAAGAGTTGTGATATCGAGCGAAGAAATCAATAGTGGACTCAAGCAATAACGCTTAAAGAAATAGCATGACATTCAGATATATTGAACAAACGAAAGCGAGAGATTCTAATGATCGATAAACTAAAAAATGAGTTGTTTGTAGCTGCGATACTGTATGATTGACTTGATTCCATGGTGCAATCAAATTTGGTGCCACCAGATTTATAGTATTCCACTCTTCAAAAAGTACATTTATTTATTCTTTGTTGATTTCTATAATTCATGCTCCATAGGTCATCTTAAATATGTTAAATTCTAAAGTAAGTTCAAACCTAAATAATGATTTTTTCAATGCATCTAACCATCTTATCCAATAACAACTTTGGTTAGAATTCCACTTCTCTTAACCAATCTCAAACAACTTCTCTCTTTTTAAGTTATACTATCTTGTCATAAAAAAATAATTCTTTTGATGGCATTCTTTGTATTTGTAGAAATCCAAAAACAATACTCTATATTTATTGAATAAACTAACTTAGAATCACCTTAATCAACATAAAAAGTACTTAATTCCAAGAAATAATGAAAACTACTCATACTTTTCTTGATCCAAATCTAAAAGTAAAGTGCTCTCCCCTCTCTCATTTCTTAAACATAAATTCATTAATTTAATATTATATATGATTAAAATAAAAAGTACCCCCCTTCTATTCCCTAACGATCACATAAACTCTCTTAAGCCACCCTAATATAGTCTATATAAGTTATTTTAAGTCATCACAAATACTTATAATTTTGTTCCACAAACACAAGTTGTATTGCTTCATTTATGTCTTCCCAGAATTTATTTTTTTCATTCAAAATATCATCAAAGCCAACTTAAGGAGCATAAGTTCAAACCAGATTTATAATAAAATCATTTCTTAGGAAGTGCTATTCTAAGATTATATAAAATTGCTATCTTGTAGTCCAAAACTACTATGAATCTTCATAAAACCTATCCCAATAGGTCTTCTATGTCCATTTAGTTCAACCATCGCTTTCAAAATTTAATTTTAGAGGTCAGCTTCTGCTTGAGGAGCCATAGTACTAATCATATTTAGAATATACTCCTACAAAATAAAATAATACCAACTTATCAACCGAATGTTTATAAAACTATTCAGCTAAAAAAATTTATCTTTCAGGTACATATTCACTACCAACTCTTTTAAATTTTCATTGAGGATGGCATTCCAATCTTCCAAAGTATTCTTGTTCTTTCAGCTACATAATCACTACCAACTCTTTTAAATTTTCACTGAGGATGGCATTCCAATCTTCCAAAGTATTCTTGTTCTGCATTCCTTCCTTTCAAACATCACAAAACACGCAAGCAACACATTTTTCCAATATGTTGTTATGAGAATATTTATTTTGATGAACCAAATATGTATGCAAGAGATATCCTATAAAATCGGGGTCTTTACATACCACCCTATTCAAACGTATTTACACATCTAACACCTAAACTTTAAATTTTACATTTATACCGCCAAAATCATTAATATAAAATTAAAAAAATAGCACCATTTTAACTTTTCAAAATTGAAATGCAACTTTTTCATGCATAGGGGAGGTGGCATTTATTTAAAATTAAAGCATAGGTGTTATATATGTAAATACATAGGAATTTAGTGTTACGTATGTAAATCATCCAAAGAACATAGGAATATAAATCATTACTATCAAATATATCACCAATCAGATCAACAGCAGCAATGAATACCACAGAACAGTTAATTTTGTATAAACACCTCAGCAATAACAAAATACTGTAAATGGGATGACATGGAAAACTTTCTACGCACTAGCCTATCATATTGAAAAATAAGTAAAAGAGATACAGCCAGAGAAAACTGTAATTTTAGTAGATCTTAAACCACATTAAACCTCGATCTTAATATCCAAATAAACATAAAATAACAAATTAAAACGCTCTAGATCAGAAAACAAAGACATAACCCAAAGAAATAAAATAGCTAGCACGAAAGCGATGAAAAAGAGGATCCTTAGCCAAAAATAAAGATAAATTCTCAATTAAGAGAGAAAACGAGATTTTACCTTCTGCGGGGAGAGTCAGCCTTCATAGGGCGTAGGGCGTTAGTAACAAAAGAAAGTAAACAGCGAAGGTTAGAGACAGCAGAATCAAAAATGAACACCAAAGCAGATTAGATCAAGAAATAGAAAAAGAAATACCATGATCGTTGATAACCGGAAGCACGAAAAAGGAATTCGCCCCGCTGTGAAGAAATTAGGGTTTCTGTATTCGCCGGTTCTCTTAAAGCGCTGCGGACTGCGGGTAGCTTTAAAGGCTCCTTATCACGTGAACGGAACGTGAGTCATTTTATACGTAACAATATGTATATCTGTTAAACTAAGTTTCGTTTGGGGCAGTTTATAGGTGTGGGCAGCGTTTTCAAAATGTCGTAATACTGTTTGGTTTGCACGTTTCATCAGTTTATCTGAAACTGCGTTTGAGTTTTAACACTAAACGCAGACCGCGGGTCGACCTCTGTGGCCAGTCAGCCTGAAACACACAAGCTGCCACAAACGGACCTTAATTCTCCAGGCTATTATATTAGTCTTTTCGAGTATGTTTGGGGGCAGCTGCAGCTTATTAAATAATTTGTTAATAACCTGATTGCTCATAGGCTATGTGAGGTGGCTATTACATTTTTTTTATTTTCTTAAAAAAGTCAGATCGCTGTCAGAAAGCCGTCACCGCACCTACATAGGTGTTGTGTGAAAACTCTGTTTTCAGCGTTTTCAAAATGCATAAGCTGTCAAAACTTAGTTTACCCAAACAAATCAGATGCGTTTTCAAAATGCCACCGCACTAAATAATCTAATTATGCATGACAATTTGACTCATAGCACATTAAATCTTGATTATCTTATGATCCAGATAGGAAAATAAATGTTTTAGATTTAACTTATGTTAAGAAAGATAGAGGTGAACCTAAAAAATTTTGGGCATCTTGTATAAAAAATGATCTTAATTAATTAGAATGAAATGAAAATAAATTAAGTTCATAAATTATTTTAGCTGAACGGAGTGCTATGCTGTTTATCTTTGCTTTTTTTAATGCTTGAAGCTTTAAAATCTTGTCCAAATTTATTGTTGTTGTTGTTATGACTTTTTTCTTCTTTATTTTAATTTAGAGATGTAACCGAGACACACAATATTAATGATTTAAATGAATAATAATATCACTAAACATTTATGCGTTCAAAATTTTTGAACTAAAGTTTTTTTTTTATTCAATTATGTTGAAGAAAAATAGGACCGCTTTGCACGTCAAGAAAATCAAGAACTGCGCTGTCGAACACCTGGATAAAACCAAGAACTGAACTGTCGAATAGGAACAAACAATAAATGTCGAACACCTCTCTAATAGCCGAATGAAAGTGAAACCACAACAGATAATAAAACAGGGAAAATAAATGAAAAAACTGCAACAAACATAATATGCAAACAAGAAACCAAAGCAACCAAGAATTACGTTATTCGGTCCATATGACTTACATCCACGAGAGGGAAATCAAACATCAAATCCACTGGAGGCAATAAAGAAGAATTACAAGGCATTTACATTGATGAATAAACTCTCATCTTGTCATGATCTCTCTCTCGAATAATTTAGATACAAAATCTCCAATCTCCAAGAATCTCCAAGATCAATGAGCTCTCATCTTGCCATGATCTCTCTCTCGAATCACCTCGACACAAGATCTTCGAGCGGCTTTTATGTAAAAAATTACAGTTTAAGTGTTAAGATATATATATACATAGGAATTGAGTTTTATGCAGCTAATTCTTACTTTTTTTGTTAGATCTTTCTCCTATTTTTCTACTTGCTTCTCTTTCTAATGCTTGATCATGCCTTTCATTTCATAGATTGATTTGAGAACCCGAACTGCAACAGAGCTCTTTAAATGTAAATCCTTTAAAGGCAAGCGGTGTTGTCTCCCAATTGTTTGTCTAAATTCCATTAAAATTGATCCAAGGAATCTGTATCAATTCCCAATTGCTGGATCGGATGTGCACGCCAGGGTCTACGATAGTCGTATGTACCCACATGATTGTTAGTTGTGGGATGGAAGTGGCCTTAAGTTATGGCTGCCGAATGCCGAGGAACCAGCCGCACCGGTAGGTGTCATTGAGGTTTGCACTTAATTCTTTTCCTCTTAAATTAGGTGTTTCTTGGTGTTCGATCATTATTTGTTTTTCTTTGGAGGATATTTTGTAGCAAGTTTTAGCTATGATGAAGGCTAAGTTTTGGCAAAGGATTATGTGAAGGTAAATTTGCATGTATATACGCATAGCATGCCATAGCACTTTGTTGCTTTAAGACTATGCATGAAAAGGTGTGTTTTATCTTTTAAAAGTGGTAATAGTGCTATTTTTTATGCGATATTAATTGCATGAAAAGGTGTGTTTTATCTTTTAAAAGTGGTAAAAGTGCTATTTTTTTATGCGATATTAATTGTGCGAGTGTTATGTATGTAAATATGAAAGTTTAGGTGGGAGATATGTTAATACATAAGAATTGTGTGGTATGTATGCAAATGCCCTTATTTGAATCACATGATAACTACCAAGTTCTTAAATATTGTTTTAGGTGAGATCTAAGATGTGGTAAATCATGAATGAAGTGGGATTATAAATATTTGCATCACTTACACTCTTTGTGTTTGTTTTTTTTAAGTTTAAAATCTAAATTTTGAAAATATTATTCAAGCAATTTAGAAGCTTTTGACTAGATTTATCATCTATCATGCCAAAAAAAAATTATAATTTGACGCTTTTAGGATTTACTAAATATGAATTTACTAGATTTACCAAATCCTATTTATAGCCAAACAATAAGGGTTGTTTGGTGTCATGTTTTAGGCAGGATTAAGCTAGATTTTGCTTAACTTTTGCTAAATAGGAGTTTGAAGAATTTAAATTCGAATGTTTTGATAAATCTTATGTTAGCCTTTTTATTGATTAATTAAGAAGTTAATTAACGTCTTTTGGGGGCAGTTTTTTGCCTGTTTTGCATTCGAGACCGTCATCACAATTTTATTTGGGGAACTACTTTCTTGCTGCTTTCTTAAAATTTTTATGTTAGAAACTTATTTCAACCCGACATGTTAAGTGCAGTGATTATATGAAAGCTATTATATGACTTTTTTGAAAAAAAAAAAGAAAAATTTATAATTCTCACCGCAGCTTTCTAAGAAGTTGATTTCGTTATCGCAACTTTACAATCACCTTTTTAAAAAGCCGCAACCACCTTCATTTATAATACTTAAAGGGATTTAATAACTCCCTATCATAACTAAAATCTCAAAACAATTAGTAAAATAATTTATCAAATTTTAACATGATTTAACAATCGATAATAATTTTGAGGTTGTAATACTTTCAAAATTTATAGAATCTTGATTAATAAAATATACTTAATCTTAGTAGAAAACCCATTTGTTTTACTTATGAAAAAATATTATCATCTTATGCTTATGAGGACATAAGTTATTACCCTATTCTCTTACTTGAGTTTACTTGAGGAATTAGTTGTATCATACTTGCTTCAACTTCACTTGCTAACCTAATTTTGGAGCTATATATCTGAGGCTCGGTTGCTGTGGTGTGTGGTTATGTGTGGGAGACCTCTAGGTCAATGATAAAATTTTATGTGAGGTTTAGGCCAACGAAAGATGGCCGGCTAAGGGCTTAGGTCAAACCAAACCTATGAGATGGGGTTTATAGAGTGGAGGGGTGCTCAAGGCATTTTGGAAGTTGTAGGGGAAGGTTGAGAGATGCAATGGAGATCCAATATAATTAAGGGTTTTGGTGAAGACTACACCAAAATTAGGACATTGGAAAGGCTTGTTTGGATTTTTTGGTCGAGATTCGAGCGATTTGGAGTGTTGTGGAAGAGGAACAATCAAACTAAGTCAAGGCTACCCTAATTTTGGCTAACTAATTTATGAGCTTAGAAACTTTTTTTTTTTTCAATTGCTTTTTTTGTTGTAGGAGATGGGGAGAAAACAATGGATAGAGACTAGAAATGTTGATGAAGGATTAAGATAAGGTAGGAGAGAGATCAACCATATTTAAGAGAGATACTCTGGTATTTTACCAAGAAGGACCGAAGAGGTCAACCACTGGGGTTGTAAGCAATTCGAGTTGAGCTCGAGCCACTCTCGACTTGAGCTTAGGCTTGATTAATTTTACCGAGTTTGAGCTCTAACTCGAACTTAAGCCTACATGTTCGAGCTACTTTTTTCTTATAAAGAGAAAAATAATACTATGTTAAGATAGTGTTATAATAAAATAATAAATAGAATAAGCAATTATGAGAGAGATAATAAAAAAACACTTTTTATAAAATACAAAATAATATTTTTAAATGTTTTAAAGATAAACTCTTCAAATTTGATCTATTGGCGTGCAATTTATATTATTTTTTTAAAATGAGCCAGCCCACGAGCTTACGAGTCGAGTCAGGGCTAGCTTGAGCTTGGTTTGTTAGCTCGTCGAGCTCAGTTCACGAGCCAAGCTCTAGCAGACTCACAAATCTGCTTGACTCACTTACACCCCTATCAACCACGAAGCACAAAACTCTAGAAATTCCAATCTCTACTTTTTTTTTTTTTCAAACATCCAAATACTAAATTTTATATTTAGGTCTTAGATTTATAAATTCTTAAGAATTGTGTGGTATGTATGTAAATTTCCCAATGATTTTTTTGTTTTATATCTTGCATCATTTACCCTAATCTAAATTTCTCTTTTTTAATAGTTTGATTCCATAAATTCTTTCTATTAAATAGGATGTTATCGTCACCGCATTGGTGACAACATTGCGACTACTTTTGCATGAAATTTTATAGATGTATTTAATATGAAAGTATCTTATTTGCAATTTCTCTTGTATTAGATCATCAAGCAAGAGCCGGTCACATTCGTCCCGAGTTATGGTATGGATGATGACAGCGATGATGGTGATGGTGATGCCGACAGCGATGATGGTGATTATCTACGGAGTGATACTAATTTTGATGAGAATAGCGATGTTTATTATGATGATGATGATGATTATTATTATTATGAAGATGATGGCCATAATGATAATGTTATGAATGAGTCATATTGGGATCAGGGATGATGTGAATTTCATAAGAGCCTTCTTATCTACTTCAGCCCTCAGCTGTGTTCAAAAAAGGAAATTTTACATACATACCCCTCAATTGTTGTGAGTGATTACATATACCACCTTTCTTATACATGAAATGTATGCTTCACTTTTGAAACGTTAAAGAAGTAATATTTTGTTATGTGATATGAAAGATTTGGGTGGTATGA